TTTTTTTCTTTAAATTACCACTTTGTTTTTCTTTTCAGTACACACCTCTTTCAATTTGCTGCAGTTCAGTAAAAGAAACCAAACAAACAAACAAACAAAAGAAACCACAGTGTGTGATTGCAAATGAAAAGTGCAACAATGAAACAATGATTGCACTAAAAAAAAATCAAGGCCTATTTATAGGTCTTGGGAGAACTACAGCATGTGTGGAAAATGTGGTATAAGGTCCTGTGCTGCTGTAGAGGAAGCTACGTGAAAGTCTGGGGTTACAGATAACTAATAATAAAAAAAGATGAGCTGACCAGCCTCCATCAGGTAATCATTTTCGCCGAGACAGCCAGCTTGAGGACCCAATAACCGCGACTAGCATAAACAGTTGAAAATGGAGGTGTACTGTAGAAAAGCAAAAGAAATCAGTATGTGTGGTAAAGAAGACAATATCTAGTTATCTCTGTTACATGAATCTGCTACATTTCCAGCGACTACTTTGTGCAGTATTGTTTATCCAGCTTGAGCAGACAATGTTGTCTAAATGGAGAAAAGTTGCATGAGTCAGTGAAAGGCTCTTTTCAGCCCATTTCACAGCATTAGTGAAATGAACATTTCCTTTCCACAGCAGTACCTACAGAGAAAAACCACCAAGAAAGTCTTGACAGACCAGAAGTGTTTTGCCTAAAGAAAAAAGTTTTTGCACAGATACATATACACAAACTCATGCTCATACTCTTCAGTAATCCACTCAGAAAAAACACAAACATCTCAAAACCTTTGCATTATTATCCATGCGCGCAAATATAGACAGGCTTTTTGTGTTGCTGCTGTACGCTGTCCCACTGAGAGAGAAGAAAGTTACAGATGGTCCTGTTTCCTTCCTCAGACTGCTTTGTAGTTGTGAGAGCAACACAGAGGAATGCTTTTGAATGTAAATCACATCATGTTCCCGCAGTTTATTCGCTGGGCCAGCAGCCAGTGAAAAATGCTGTTATTGCAAAAAATCCGAGCATAAATAAACAATGTAAGACAACAGAAATGAATGTGTATAATAAATAATTTGCATTCCCCCCGTCTTGGTTTCAGCCTCACCAAACAATAGCAGCAAGTCTAAGAAAAAAAGTTGGGGAGAACAGATTACTGATCGGGTTGTACAACTCTTATGAAGTGAAAATGGGAATGGAAATTATAGTTTGCTGATTTTGTGAATTCGTGAAGCTTGGTGCGGAGGCGTAGATCAAAAGGATTTGTGTTTGCTGACTTATATCACAGCTCCCATCTGCTCTTATTTTATGTCCATTCTTGTAAGCAATGCCTTTAATACAATTAAAGTTGAAAAAACATTGGCAATAAAGGCACTCTGCGTAGATGCACATATGGCAAGAATACTGCATGCAACATTTTATTTAATGTGCACGGCAGCTGCGTGGAGCTGAATTTGTTTGCATCTTGGAACTTTTGGGACAAAC